CCCACCATGGCAGATGGTGGAATTAAAACCAATAAAAATCTGGAATTAAGATCCTAATGATGACTACATTGTTAATTACCATGAAAAGCTCATCTTGGGTCATTAATGTCCTTTAAGGAAGGAAACTGCCATCTTTAACTGGCTGGCATACATGTGACTCCAGGCACACAGCAATGTGGTTGACTTTTAGCTACCCTCTGAGCAATTAGGGATAGGCAATAAATGCTAACCCAGCCAGTGATGTCCACATCTCATGAATGATTTAAAAAAACACCCAAATGCCTTTTAACCACCTTATCTATATGGCCAGCTGCCTTCAAGGATCTATGGACATGGATGTCCATACCAATGTCTTCCAAATCCTTTGACACCTACTCTTTCCCTGGTTATTCTCTTGACCATAATATACTTATTAAATTAATTTGAATTTTCCTTAGTCTTGCACACCATGTCCCTTCTTCACTCTCCTAATTTTTTTTTAAGTAATCCTTGCACTTTCTATACTCCTCTAGGGCATCCAATGTTTGAGCTCCCAGTATCTGCAATAAGCTTCCTTGTTTCCTTATTCATTCCTGTATGTCACTTGACATCGAGGGTACTCTTGACTTGTTGATTCACCCTTCACTTTTTTGGGAACATGTTGGTGCTGCACTTTCACCATTAATCTTTCAAATGACTCCCAGTGCTTTGATGTGTATTTTTAGAATCTTTGTCCTTATCCATAATTACCTTAAAACTAACTGAATGATTGTCTCTATTGATTTAATGGTCCTAAAATTAGATCCAACACTGCCAACTCTCTTGTAGGACTTTCTGTGTGCTGGTTTAAAAAGCTGAGCCCCTCCAAGCCTGACACTTTGTCTATCCCAGTTAATATTGAGTAAATTCAAATCCCCTGCTATTACTGTCCTATTATTTTACACTTCTATGAGATTTGATTACATATCTGTCTGTGCATCTACGTTGCCTTACTTAGTCTGGAGAAACAATTCAGTTTGGCCCTGCAAGGCTCGCCACAATATGACACAGCTCAGGGCCTTAAAGCCAGACAGTGAAGAAGCTAGCCCTTCAGATACAACATCTGAGGAGGAGAACAATAACAAACATGAAGAGGAAGAGCTGACACAGATGAAGATGGCACAATGGAAGACCACCTGAGGTGGAGGCCCAAGTAGCCATGACAGATTCTTTATAGGACGGAGTCATTGCTAGAAGCATATTAATTCAGAGCAAAATTTCTAGGCTCTTAAAAAGTTTATAATTTATATATGGAGATATATATATACATATGGAGATAGCAAGAACTGCAGCGCTGGAGTCAGAGTCAAAACAGTTTTTTTTTGGGTTTACACCCTTCATCAGGACTGGGGAGGGGGAAGAGAGCTTGGAAATAAATAGAGGGAGGGGGATGGGGCTGGGGGAAGGTAGTTAGAATGGTGATAGGTGGATGCAGGTAGGGGGTAGTGGAGATTGGACAGTGGGAAGGGTGGGGTGGATAGGTGGGAAAGAAGATGTACAGGTTGTATCAGGTCAAGGAGGCAGGGATAGGAGGGAGGGTTGGACGTAGGATGAGGCTGAGGGTGGAGAGCTTTTGTAACTGGTGAATTCTACATTAAGGCCATCAGGCTGTAAGCTCCTGAGGCGGAATATGAGGTGTTGTTCCTCCAGTTTGCGTGTGGCGTCATTGTGGCACTGGAGGAGGCTCAGGATGGACACCAAGGGCGTGGGAGGGGGAGTTAAATTGTTGGCAACCAGAAATTGTTGATTATAGCGTACGGTGCACAGATGCTCCGCGAATCAGTCACTGAGTCTGCGCTCGGTCTCACCGATATAGAGGAGACCGCATCGGGAGCATCGGGATACAGTAGACCAGGTTGAAGGAAGTACGGGTGAACCCCTATCGAATTTGGAAAGAGGTTTTGGGCCCTTGGATGGAGGTGAAAGGGGAGATGTAGGAGCAGGTGTAGCACTTCCTGCAGTTGCAGGGAAAGGTGCTGGGGTGGTGGGGCTAGTGGGAATGTGGAGCGGTTGAGGGAGTCGCAGAGAGAGCAGTCCCTATGAAAGGCAGATAGGGGTGGGGAGGGAAATATCTCTTTGGTGGTGGGGTTGGATTGTAGGTGGTGGAAGTGGCGGAGGATGATGCATTAAATGTGGAGTTTGGTGGCGTGGTATGTGAGGACCAGGGGACCTCTGTCCTTATTTTCGTTGAGTGAGAGAGTTTGAGGGTAGAAGTGCAGGAAATGCAAAAGATGCAGTTGAGGGCATTGTGGATCAACAGAGGGGGCAAGTTGTAGTCTTTGAAGTAGGAGGACATCTGGGATGTTCGGGAGTGGAACGCTCCATCTTGGGAGCTGATGTGGCGGAGGCAGAGGAATTGGGAGTAAGGGATCGCATTCTTGCAGGAGGGTGGGTGAGAGGAGGTGTAGTCAAGGTAGTTGTGGGAGTCGGTGGGTTTGAAATAGATGTTGGTGCTGAGACGGTTGCCGGAGATGGAGACGGAGAGGTCCAGGGAGGGGAGGGAGGTATCAACGATGATCCAGGAGAATTTGAGGTTGGGGAGAAAGATGTTAGTAAAGTTAATGAACTGTTCAAGCTCCTCATGGGAGTTTGAGGCAGCGCTGATACAGTCATCGATGTAGCAGAGGAAGAGGTGGGGGATAGTGCCAGTAAAACTGCGGAAGAGGGACTGTTCCACGTATCCTACAAAGAGGCAGGTATAGCTTAGGCCCTGCGGGCGCCCATAGCCATCCCTTTGGTTTGTAGGAAGTGGGATAAGTTAAAGGAAAAGTTGTTGAGGGTACGGAACAGTTCCGGTAAGCGGATGAGGGTGTCGATGGAGGGGGACTGGTTGGGCCTGCGGGACAGGAAGAAGCGGAGGGCTTTTAGGCCATCTGCGTGGGGGATACAAGTGTACAGGGATTGGATGTCCACAGTGAAGTTGAGGTGTTGGGGGCCAGGGAACTGAAATTCTCGGAGGAGGTGGAGGGAGGGGTAGTCTTGAACATAGGTGGGTTCCACAAAGACGCCACACGCAAACTGGAGGAACAATACCTCATATTCCACCTCGGGAGCCTACAGCCTGATTGACTCAACATATCATAGAAGTCACCAGTTTCAAAATCTCCCCACACCCAGCCTCATCCCACTCCCTACCTGCATCCACCTATCACTATCCCACCTACCTTTATTTATTTCCGTGCTTCCTTCCCCATCCCCAATCCTGATGAAGTGGTAAACCTGAAGTGTGGACTTTCCTGCTCTTCAGATGCTGCCTGACCTGCTGTGTTCCTCCAGGTTCACACTGTATTTACACAATTTATATATGTTATTCCCAGTGAGCAGTTTCCATATAATTAACTTTTAATATGGAAGCCACACTTCTTTAGGGAACTGCACATACCTGTTACAAAAGAAAATCAGCAGCATGCTTTATGTCTATGCCCTAAACATGGCTAAAACCATGACCATCATAACCATTGGTCTGAACATGGTGCACCATGCATCCTACTTTATGCAGCATCTATAGCATTTTGACATGTGGAAAATCCATTTTACACTGTGTAAAAATGAAGTGTAAATGACTGTCATTGGCAGTGCAGCCACAAAATATATGCCTTTCCCCTTGACTATTTTTTTTATAGCAATCATGGTAAAGATTCCAGCAATTTCCGTATGTGTACTCCCAATGGATAAGTCTCTGCATTGGGAGCACACATTTGGGAAATTCATCAAACAGGGAATACATCTATCTTTACAATGTTTATCATTCATTTTTTGTGGTAAAGAAAAGTACCCACATTATAAATGTGCTATCATAATTATATAGACAATTCATTTGGTCGGAAATTTATGATTTACTGAGGGCAAAATCATGAACGTTGCCATCATTATTCATCCAAAAATGACAGCAATTCCTGTAGATTGCACATGTGCAGTTGAACACAAATAAATAGTAAACCTACAATTCCCTGTCAGTGACAACACTGAAGTGTCCTCAGACTAGAAATCAGGGAACTAACTAAAATCTGCTTTTAAGCTATTGATTTTACCGTATGAACCCTTGAAAAGAGTGACACATTGTCGAATGATGTGTCAATGAAGTTCATAATTAATACAAAACAGTTCCACAGTCCCTGAAAAACTAATGTTATCACTGAGGAATGCCAAATTTCTCTTCTACAATTAAAAATGCAATTTTTAAAATTATTTAAAAGAATGTTTGTGATATTTCAGTTTCTATATTAACAGCATTTGAATGTTCCAATCATTTATTTCGCTTTCCCTAAAACTTTAACTAAAAATGAAATATTCAGTACACTTTACTTTCAACTTTAGAAAGTTAGAAAATTTGACCTGATTATTTCCAAGAATTATATCTATATGTACAAATATAATGCATAAACTGTCCCATATAGTGGATGTGACAAGACTTAGGCCAGCTACAAGAAACAAAATGCATATCTCTTTTAAGTGCCCATCTCCATGGCACCTATCCTAAGTACTTGATGGAAAACTTGCTCGAAAACTCTTCATGGGTCAGGGCCTGCTGCTTCTCTGCATGGTTTTCATTTGTTAGTTTCTGCTCTGAGCATCAATTCTCTATCCCCTTTTCCTCTACTTTATGTTTGGGAACAGAATACTCTCTACTTTAAACTAAATATTGGGAAAGGGGTGATTATAAAGATGGACAGTTCTTCTTTTTAATATACCATGATAAAAGCACCCATTATTCAAAAGTATCTGTAGGTATTTATGAATTAAGATTATATTAATGTAAAATGATTATGGCACATTTTGCTATCCAGGACCTGATTTAGTCATTGGTCATTAAAATTGCAAGAACTCATATAGCTCAAATTACTGTTAAATTAACTGCTGAACCAGTTAATTTTGAAGCAATCAACTAAATAAACAGTGAATTCATTAGCTGATAATTCATTCTGCTCCAAATATTAAGTAGTAAGGTATTGCAAAGTATTCACAAAGAATATCCCACTTACCAGCAGATAGAAATAGTCCCCCTCCTGCTTTGTAGAGCTTATGATTAGGAAATGGAACTGCACAGATGATGATAAAGCCTCCTACTGTGACGGCAACGATACCCAACATCATAAATACTGACCAGAAACCACGGTAAACTGAAAACACAGACAATAAAAGTTAAGTTTAGGGTCAGATTGTAAACACTAAAATGGTATAGTGTTATCTCACAAGAATTGTTTATTGTCTATATTAGCATGTTTATTACTCCATTTTTGTTTTGTGCATATTTATTTCTGTTTTTGTTTTGTGATTTATTTACTGATCATTATTCTGTAATTTATCTGTTTAAAATTCTCTGTACATCTGAAATGCATAATGATACATTTTTAAACTGCACATGGTGTAGCAACTCAAGTTCGATATAAACTGATGTGGTAGAAAATGACCAATTATAAGTAGCGTTTGTTCATCATATTAACAATAATGAACAAATAGGAGGGACTGTGATACTGTAAACTTCAGAACATTAATAACTTCATGAATTGAAAGAACTCTGTCTGGATTAAACTTGAAAGACAAGGACAAACTGTGATACAGCAATTGGAAGCAACTAGTCATCCCTGGAAAAAGGAGTCAAAGCTATATAAATAAAACTGCTTTAACAGCTGTTTGATAACTGACTTTCTTATGCCGCAAGAACAAATTATTACCCTGCAGAAGAATTTAAGGAATTAACTGCAGGGAAATTGTATCTTCAGACAGACAGTCAATGCCAAATGTAACAAGGAACAGGGAAGCTACTTCTGATAAGAAGCAAGCTGCAGACTCGATGTTTCCAGAGGAGTAGTCAATATTATGGATAAAAGAATCTAAAGGATCATCAATAATGTCACAATATAGATTTGAAAGACAGAAAATGCTAGAAGAATTCAACTCTAGGATTCTTCAGTAGCAGAACTTAGAAGAACAACACTGCACTAGGACTGAAGCCCAGATATCAGAGACAGAAGCTGTTGGTTGGAATTGTAGCTTGGTAATAGCCAAGTTGGGTTATGAGGCTTAACTTGCTTACTTAAGGGGTCTTATATTGGTTGCTATATGCAATAAAGTTTAAATTATTGTTTCAGTATTTGATTGTGAGTTTACTTAATAAGAAGCTGAATTAAATGTAGCTTGTGGTTATTTACACACAACATTATTTTGTCATAAATGTTATAATCTGAAAAACTATGCATTTATATCTTCAGTGGAATTCAATGGCTATTCATATAAATATGGCTGTAGATAGTGTTTAAAATTATTTAATGGGGGAGAGGGGTTAAATTGAAGGGAGGGTTAAAACATTGAAAGGAACCAAATGATCATGGGTGGAGGGTAATGAGGAGGCAAACAATAATCAAAGTGTGACATTAAGGTGCAGAAAATACATGCAGAGGTGGGCAATACAAATTCAAACCAGAGTAAAGTAATACTCGTAATAAGTCAATTTTAAGGCTCAATCTTAAGTGCTTACAGCACTTGTAATGAGATAGATTTGCAATGGCAATAATAGAGATAAATGAATATGATGCTTTTTAGAGAGACATCATGTGGAGTTTAATGTTAGAAAGTGTGGATCATTCACTCCAGTAAGAAAAATCAAAAGGCAGACTATAATGTATATGGAGAAGGACACCAATAAAGTACAATACGGAGGATCTGGGTGCCTTTGAGCAGAAAACACAAAATGTTAGTATGCAGATGCAGCAATTAATCAAGAAGGCAAATGAAACTTTGGCCTTTATTGCTAGAGGGTTGAAGTTTAAAAATAAGGACGTCTTACTAATACAGAATCCTGGTGAGGACTGTGCACAGTACCTGGAGGACTGTGCACAGTTTTGGTCCTTGTATTTAAGAAAGGATGTACTGGCTTTGGAAACAGTTCAAAGGAAATTCACCAGGCTGGTTACTGGGATGAAAGAGTTGAATTAATAAGAGCAGCGGAACAGGTTAGGCCTTTATTCCTTAGAGTTTACAAGAATAGTGGATGATCTTATTGAAACATACAACATTCCGAGAGACCTTGACAGGATAGATATTGAGAAGGTATTTCACTACTGGGAGGAATCTAATGGAATCTAATGGAATCATTGAACCTCTACAGTGCAGAAAGAGGTCATTCAGCCCATCAACTCTGTACTGACCTTCCAAACAGCATCCCACTCAGATTCTTACCCTATCCCTGTAACTCTGCAATCTTGAACTAGGGGGCATAGAAATTTGAATTCAGTTTTTAAAAATCAAGTTAAAAGCTTATCCTAATGGAAGTGGTGTAACCATTATTGGTTGTCATCAAAACCCATCTGGTTCACTCATGCCTTTTGGAGAAGAAAATCTGCCATCTTTACCTTATCTGACCCACATGTAACTCCAATGTGATTAACTCTTAACTGCCCTCTGAGCAAGTAGGGATGAGCACTAAATAATGATCTTGCCAGTGATGCCCACATCCCTTGATCGAATACAAATAACTGTGTGATTTTAGATAGGAGTGCCTGTGATCAGCACACAGAATTATGTGCGTAACAGGATGCAATCTTGCAATGTCAAGGAATGGCACATAGATTCATGCTGATGATCCTTGACATGCTGAATTCATGAAGTGTAGATACTAAAATATCATGGTGGCACAGTGGTTAGCACTGCTGCCTCACAGTGTCAGGAACCCCAGGGTTTCATTCCAGCTTCTGTGTGGAGTTTGCACATTCTCCCTGTGTCTGTGTGGGTTTCCTCCAGGTGCTCCAGTTTCCTCCCATAGTCCAAAGATGTGCAGGTTAGGTGAATTAGCCATGCTAAATTGTCCATTGTGTTCAGGGATGTGCAGGCTACATGGATTAGCCATGGGAAATGCAGAGTTAGGGTGGTGGGTCTGGGTGGGATGCTCTTTGGAGGATCAGTGTGGACTTGATGGGCTGAATGGTCTGCTTCCACACTGCAGGGATTCTATGATTTCCTTAAGGAGAGGAAGGGGGATATTTGCAGTCACTCTAAGCTGTTTTTCAGGTATGCATACCTGTTACAGCGGTGTTGAAAGAAGACATTGAGCATGTTAATCATTTTTCTCAGCTAGAAATGTTATGGAGTTACAAACAACAAATAATACCACAATTTAGGAACATGCCAAGTGGGACTATTACCCAAAAGAGAGGGATGATTTTCTATTAAGCAAAAGAAGTAAATCACAAGTTGTGAATACATTACTGACTTATATCTGATTTATAATTCAGATGACTTTTTTCTCCTGAATGAATGGTACCACAGGCAGTTGCAAAGGTGACTTACCACTGAATTAGACATAATTACTTATGGGAACAATGAGCTTTTAAAACAAACCTACTTGAACTGTGGCTGGTAAAGATATATTGAAACATGCAGAATCTAACCATGCAAAATAATATTAATGCCTGTATTTATACATTTTTGTACAAATAGTTTGAAATATTGCTTTTCAATTTAGATAATTCTGAGCATTAGAATTAAATAATTAGCAGGTCTGTGGCATTTTTTTCTAATAATTGATGTAAACTTATGGAAACAGACAAATTAGAAGTATTCATCAAAATATGTAAGGATTTGTTATAAAATATTTATTTGTGATCTTGTCTGATATTATTATAAAATTTATTTTTGATTATCTTAGTTTCTAACATACACTTGTTACCTTTTTGCGAATAACTTTAAATATGAAACCAAAATACATCAAAGACCTGATGGCTCCTGTTGATAAAAGGGCTCCTGTTGATATTACAATGGCATAACTCATGGTAAGTGTACTAACATCCTAGAGTGATCTTAAGATTGTAATCTCATTGTACTTTTGGTGACAGAAGTAAACAAGTGCATTATTCTTATGGTTTATAACTGCCCAATCCCTGATTCACTTATCATCGTTGACAAGTTGCCAATACCCACTAATTAATCAAGAAATTCCTATGATTCCATGTAAGGCTAACTGTTTACTTACTGATAGCTGTCTCATAAGCAGTGGAGTTGTATGAATCTGTTGTCAGAGGGAACGGGAGGAGATAGGCGTGCATACAATATTTCAAAGGAGGTTGGTTAGCTGTGTAATAAAGAAGTAAATAGTGTGAGAAGCATTTGTTAATCATAAAAATCCTCCCAAAAAGCTCAGCAACTATTGTTGGTAAACAGATCTGCATGTTATGATTTGTAGCTATCGAATTAATGTGTCAGATTATAACATAAACTTAATACATTGATCAAATTTCCACAGTATTACTTTAGCAGAGGTTTTAATCTATTTAAAACTTGCATCATATGAACAGGTTAAACATTTGTAAAATTATATCCCGAAACATAAGTGATACAAGTGATAAACCAAGAAATTTATTCATTAAAGATTCTTTAATTATGTTTAGCATACATGAAATATATTCAGAGGCTTGCATACTTGTTTGCAAAATAAACAAAAATATATTTTACCTGGAGTTATAGAAGTTAAAATATCTTCCCAGACTCAGCAAATAGTAGATCTACATTATAATCTTATAGTAATACTGTTTCTAAATTGTGTGACATTAAGAACTGATTTCCCCATAAACACTGTCGCAGTATTTTAAACGATAAGCATACCTATTATTGGCTACTTGGTGTTATATATAGGTCTTACTAACATTTTAATTTTTTAGCAAATTCTGTGCTTCTTGAAGAAGGAAGCACATAAATGGGAGAGAAACTACACACTAGAGCAGTCCCATTGCAAGTCTTCTCATCCCATCTGAGGAAACAGCTCAGGAAAATACTGGGAAAAGAATCAGTAAATAAGGAATAGAAGTAGGAGGAATAGCCAGCATTCATACTTAAATCAGGCTTCTCCTACTTTGTTTATCAGCCTACTCACTCTTTCATTGGTACTGAACCATCTACTGAAGATCAAGAAAAGTCCAGTTACTTATTCGTCAGAAAGCCAAAACCAAAGGACGAAATTACAATACACTTCTTTTCTCGTCCTCTTGTTTTGTGCCAGAATAGGTACAGTGAGCACCTAATGACAGGGATCAAAGCAGTGCCTCACTTAACTAACAATGTAAATTTGTGTACTTCTATGCTACGAGATTTCAGGATTGAGATGGAAGAAAGTGCTCTGGTTGATATATAGAGCATTGATGAGTAAAAGGAAACCTGCTATCCAGAAGGCCCATGGAACCATGGATTTGGACTTCAGAAAACCCCAAATGTGGCATGCCAACTTAGGTTAAAGTATCTTTATTGCTATCAATATTCAGCAAATTTTATAACCTCCATGTGTGATTCAATTTTACTGCTAGGTTTGGGAACTTGTATTCTAAAGTAGAGTTAATTAGGTTTTGGGCTTTAGTTCTATACAAGTGACTTTATTGTTTTAAGAAAGTTTCAGAAAGTAATTTGGAAGAGTAAGCTGAAGACAGACTTTCCAAGAAAGCATGTGATTTAAGTAAAATGACCAACAAGCTATCTGGGAAGATAATTGCTGCAATTTCTACTAAATATAACATTTTACGGATACAGTTTATCAGAGGCCACAAGCTGGTTGGCTTCAGAAAGAAAGGATTAATTCCTTCATTTGTGAATGTCTTCAGGCTATCAAAGTTGAAAGGAGGTCTTAAGTTGTCTTATCAGCTTCAAAGTTGGAAAAATCAGAGATTATCCTGTCTCTGTGTCTTGGGCATAGATAATAATGGACAGGATAACATCTAGTGAATGTACAGAGATTTAATGAAAAGAAATTATGAGAACTTCATCAGTCTAGTAAAATATTTTACAGTGAAGATCGGAGTTAAACTACAATGGAGTTGAGTGTCTGTAAATGATATTGCTGGGAAATAGTGTTGAATCTTCCATTTTCATTGTTTAGGATGGGATCTTTCTAATTTTCTTTCATGACTAACAAATGTTTGTTCTTTTGTTAAAAGTACATTAACAGCCTTGTGTGGATGTATTCAATGACTGGCAACCATTGCAAACAAAGTACAAATTTAAAACAGATGGCTAACCAACCCAGATTTCATCTTGGAATCTGACTTGCCCAATTTTAGTAGCTCACTCACATGGGTTTAAAATAATCAAAGCTCCAGTAATACTGACAAGCCACTCATTAAAACCCCTCATAGCCAATGCCACATGCCCAAAATTCAAACACTAAAATAAATGATGTTAAAATTTATATGATCACACATCATCATCATGCTGTTTCAATTCCATGAACTCTAAATTTGCTCACAAGTTATACTTAATCAGATGCCTTTTGGAGGTCATATACATTACATCAACAACATTAGCCTCATCTACACTCTGTTACATCACCAAAAAAAATCAAATAAGTCTGTTAAACTTGATTTGCTGTTAGTAAATCTGCACTGGCTTTCCTAACTTAACCCACACTTAAGTGACTATTAATTTTGTCCTATGATCTCTAAAAGTTTCCCACTATTGAGGATAAGATGAAAGCTTGTCCTTATTTTTTTAACAAGGATATAAAAGTTGAAATTCTCTAGTCCTCTGACAATACCCTTGTATATAAGGTGAATTGAAAAACTATGGCCAGTGTCTCCACAAGTTCCACTCACACTTTTCTTCAGTACCCTTCGATGTATTTCATTTAGTCCTGGTGACTTATCAAAATCAGCTTTGTACGGTCAGCATTTCTAATACCACTGATTTATCAATTTCTACCCCATAAAATGTCTCACCTACCTCCTCAATCAATTAAGTTGAGTAGCATTTCCTTCCCTGGTAAAGTCAGATGAAATTACCATCTGCAATATTTTTTGAAAATCAAAATCTATCACATCCATTAGTTCTTCCTCCTACAATCAGCTAGTTCCACTCTCAAGATATATAAATGATTGGTCAAACATAATTTCTCCTAACTAAAACCTTGTCACTTATGCCTAACCTTATTGTCATCTTCTAAATGCCCAGTTGCCACGTCCTCACTAAAGACCTTAGAATTTTCCCTACTCCTAATGTAAAGCTAACCAGTCTGTTGACATTAGTTTCAACCATAAGACCAAATGACATAGGAGCAGAAGTACGTCATTCAGTCAATTGAGACTGCTCCACCATTCAAAGAAATCATGGGTGATCTGATAATCCTTAAATCCAGTTTTTTGCCCTTTCCCATAATTCAAGATTCCCTTACTGATGAAAAGCCTGTCCAAGTTTGCCTTGATATTCTGCTGTGATAGAGAATTCCAAACAAAAAACAAAAACAGAAAGTGCTGGAGAAATTCAGTAGGTCTGGCAGCATCTGCGGAGAGAAGACAGAGTCAATGTTTCAAATCCATTGCTCTAAACCCGAAACATTGACCCTGTTTTGCCCCTATAGGAGCGGCTAGACCTGCTGAGTTTCTCCAGCAATTTCAATTTCTGTCCCAAATATTCTCTACCCTCTGAGAAAAGAAATTCTTCCTCATTTCTGTCTAAAATGTGCGCCCCCTGATTATGCTTTAGGGTCTGCGATTCTCCCACAAGGAGAAAAAACTTTTGTTTTCTCCTCGGTCAAGTTCCCTAAGAATCTGATATGTTTCAGATTGCCAGTGAGTACAGACTCAATTTATTCAACCTCTTCTCATAAGACAGTCCCTCTATATCTGGTATCAGCCAAATGAAACTTCTTTGGACTGCCTCCAGTCCCAAAACAGTTCACAGTATTACAGTTGTGTCTAACTAGTGCCTTGTATAGTTTTGGCAAGACTTCCCTACCTGTCTATTCCATTCCCTCTGAAATAAACATCAACATTCCATGTGCCTTCCCTATTACCTGCTGAACTTGCACACTAGATTTTTTATCAGGGATGAAGACTCCCAAATCCTTCTGTTCTATAGCTTTCTGTAGTATTTCTCCAATTAAATAAGATTTAGCCAGTCGATTGTTCCTAACAAAGTACATAACCCTTATATTTCCCCAAATCATACTTCAGCTGCCAGGTTTTTGCCCAGTTGCTTAACATGTCTATATCTCTCTGCACACCTATTGCATCATCCTCAACACTTGCCTTGCCACCTATTTTTGTGCCATTTGCAAATTTGGCTATGGTACATTTACTTCCCTTATCCAAATTATCTATGTATTACACATAAATGTGGCCCCAGCACTGATCCCTGCGGCAATCCACTAGTACAGACTGCCATTCTCAGAACAAACCCCCCCCCCAATACCAAATCCTAACTCCTTGTCTTCCGTTAGTTAATCAATCCTCTTTTCATGCTGATAAAGTACCTCCAACACCATAGGCTTTTACCTTATTTTTAATAACTTTACATGTGGGACCTTTTCAAACACCTCAAAATTCAAATATATTACAGTCACTGCTTCCCTTTATCAACCTGCTTGTTATCTCTTTAAAAAATTCTCACAAATTTTTTAGGTATAATTTCCCCTTTAAAAGCCATGCTGACTCTGCTTGATCATAGGGTCATGGATTATACAGAACAGAAACAAATCCTTCAGTCCAACTCATCCAGGCCAACCAGATATCCAAAACTGATCCCAGTCAGCATATGCCAGCATTTGGCCCATATTCCTCTAAATCTTCCTATTCACGTACCCATCAGATGTCTTTTAAATGTCATAATTGTACCCACCTCCACCATTTCCTCTGGCTGCTTGTTCCATATACACTCCACCATGGCTTAAACCTATGTCCTCTAGTTTTGGACTCCCCTATCCAGGGGAAAAGACCTTGGCCATTCACCCCATCCATGCCCCTCATGATTTTCAAAACCTCTATAAGGTCACCCCTTAGTCTCCAAAGCTCCAGAGAAAATAGCCCCAGCCTATTCAGTCTTTTCCTATAGTTCAAACCATCCAATCCCGGCAACATCTTTGTAAATCTTTTCTGAATCCCCTCAAGTGTAACAACATCCTTCCTATAGTAAGGAGACCAGAAATGAACGCAGTATTCTGAAAATGGCCTAATCAATGTCCTATACAGTTGCAATATGACATCCCAACACCTATGCTCAATGATTTGACCAATGAAGGCAAGCATACCAAACACTTTTTTTTACCAACTTGTCTACCTGTGAGTCTACCTTCAAGGAACTATACACCTGCACCCCATGGTCTCTTTGTTTAACAACACTCCCCAGGGCCCCACTATTAACTGTTTAAGTTCTGCCCTAATTTGCCTTGCCAAAATGTAACACCTCACATTTACCTAAATTAAACTCCATCTGCCACTCCTCGGCCCATCAGCCCATCTGATCAATGTCCTGTTATACTCTGAGGTAATCTTATTTACTGTCCACTACATTACCTACTTTGGTGTCATCTGCAAACTTACTAACCGTACCTCCTATGTTCACATCCAAATCATTTATATAAATAACAAAAAGCAGTAGACCTAGCACTGATCCTTGTGGCACACCGCTGGCCACAGGCCTCCAGATCGGAAAACCACCAACCACCTTCTGTCTTCTACCTTCAAGCCAATTTTGTATCCAGTTGGCTAGCGCCCCTGGATTCCATATGATCTCACTTTATTAACCAGTCTATTATGCAGAACCTTGTTGAAACCTTGCTGAAATCCATATAGACAATGTCTACTGCTCTGTCTTCATCAATCTTCTTTGTCACTTGTTCAAAAACTCAATCAACTTAGTGAGACACAATTTCCCACACACAAAGCCATGTTGAGTATCCTTAGTCAAACTTTGCCTTTCCAAATGCATGTAAATCCTTTCCCTCAGAATCCCCTCCAAAAACTTACCCACCACTGACCTCAGCATCACCAGTCTATCGTTCCCTGGCTTTACCTTACCACCTTTCTTAAATAATGGCACCGCATTAGCCACCCTCCAGTATTCCAGAAACTCACCCGTGGCTATCAGTGATACAGATATTTCAGCAAGGGGCCCAGCAATCTCTTCCTTAGCTTCCACGAAGTTCTGGGAAACACCTGATTAGGTCCTGGGGATTTATCCACCTTTATGCATTTTAAGATGTCCAGCACTCCCTCTTCTGTAATATGGATACTTTTCAAGCTATCACTATTTATTTCCCCATGTTCTCTTGCATACATGTCCTTCTCCACAGTAAACACTGATTGAGGTTGTTGAAGTTGGTTGGCTCACCAAGCTGGTTTCTTGTTTCGCAGACGTTTCGTTACCATGCTTGGTAACATCCTCAGTGCAGCCTCCGATGAAGCATCGGTGTGTTTGCCTGCCTGGTTTTTAAACTCTGGGGTCCGTTGAGATGGATTGCCTCACTTCCGGGTTTCCTCCGTAGTGGAATGTATAATGGGGTCGAGTTCAATGTGTTTATTAACAGCATGCTTTGTGGAGTGCCATGCTTCCAGGAATTCTCGTGCCTGTCTCTGCCTAGCCTGTCGCAGGATCTTGGTGTTGTCCCAGTTGAAGTGGTGGTTCTCCTTGTCCATGTGGATTGAGATACTCATTTCCACAACCTCAACACCCACAACCCGAGCTACAAATCTACTCCAAAACCTTAGTAAACACTGATGCAAAATGCTCATTTAGGATCTCACCCATCTCCTGTGGTTCTGCACATAGACAGCCTTGTTTCATCTTCTCTCCCTAGTTACTTTTTTGCACCTAATGTATTTGTAGAATCCCTTTGGATTCTCCTTAAACCTATTTGCCCAAGATATCTCATGTCCCCTTTTTGCCTTCCTGATTTCCCTCTTAAGTATTCTCCTACTATCCTTATAGTCATCCAGGGATTCACTTAATCCAGTTGTCTTTGGTCCCTGGTGCTGTGAGGCAGCAGTGCTAACCACTGAGTCACTGTGCCGCCTAATGTTAAGCTAACTGGCCTATAGTTACCTGTTTTTGTCTCCTTCACGTTTTAAATAAAGTTGTTAAATGACAGGGTCTATGGTGTGGGGGTGGGTAAACGGCATGGAAGGTGTCCAGTTTCTAAAATTATTGAACTTGATATTGAGTCCGAAAGGCTGCTGGATCACAAGGCGGAAATGAGATGCCATTCTTCCAGCTTGCACTGGGCCCTGCTGCGGTGCTGCCATAGGTCTAGGACAGTGATGTTGGCCAGGGAACACGGTGATGCACTGAAGTGGCAAGCTACCGGAAGCTTGGGTTCATTTTTGTCAGGCAGAAGATAGGTGTTCAGCAAAGCAGACGCCCAGTCTACATGTCATCTACCCAGTGTAGAGGAGACCACATTACGAGCAGTGGATACAGTAGACTAGTTTGAATGAAGTGCAGGTATATTGCTGCTTCAACTGGAGGGTGTGGCTGGAGCCTTGGATAGTGAAGAGAGGGCGAGTAAATGGGCAGGCGTTGCACCTTCTGCGATTGCTTGGAAGGGTGCCATGGAGGTGTGAGGATGTGTTGGGAGTGGAGGAGGAGTGGACTAGAAGGAATGGTCCCTGTGAAATGCTGACAAGGGAGGGGAGGGGATTGTGTATCTGGTGGAGGCATCCTGTTGGAGGTGGTGAAAATGGCAGTAAAGATCCTTTGGATGTGGATTCCGACGAGGCGGAAAGTGAGGACCTGGGGAACCTTATCAGTGTTGTGAGAGGGAAGTGAAGGGGTGAGGGTAGAAGTGCAGGAGATGGAACAGACATGGCTGAGAGCCTTGTTAACAATGGTGGTGGGGAATCTTTGGTCAAGGAAAAGGATGAACCTTCCTGAGGCACCCCTGCAGCTTTTGGCATCATCAGAACAGATGCGATGAAGATGGAGAAACTTGGAGAATGGAATAGAGTCTTTAATGGAAACAGGGTGTGAGGTTGTATAGTTCAAGTAACTGTGGGAGTCAGTGGGTTTGTAGTGAATATCAGCAGCCAATCCACTTTCCAGAAATGAATACAGAAATGTCAAGGAAGGGAAGGGAGGGGTCAGAGATGGGACAGGCGAAGGTGAGAACAGGTGGAAATTGGAAACGAAATTGATTAATTTTTCCAATTCCAGACAAGAGAGGGAAGCAGCATCGATGGTGTCATTGATATACCGGCGAAAGAGTTGTGGGGAGGGACCCAAGTAGAATTGAAACAAGGAATGTTCCACGTACCCTAAAAACAAAGTCATAAATGGGGCCAATGCAAGTACATATGGCCACACTTTTGATCTGAAGAAATTGACAGAAGTCAAAGGAGAAGTTGTTAAGTGTGAGGACAAGCTTGGCCAGTGGAGGGTGGTGGTGGATAGCTTGATCCCTGGTTGGATCCACACATATTATTCTAGGAAAATGTCCCAAATACATTCTGTGAATTCTTCCTCATGGCTACCTCTGCCAATCTGACTAACCCAATCTACATGAAGAACATGATTAAGTAATTTAATTAATTAATCCATGGTTAATATATTGACTTTGTTACATGCCCTCATTATCTCCTGATTTATTCTCTGTCCCACATTTTACTGCTATTAGGGGGTTTAAGACTATTCTTAGTAGTGATTTCTTTCCTTTTTTATTTCTTACCTCCACACATATGGATTCTCATCTTTCAAGACAAGATACTGTCTTGCTATCGTATTTCTTCCATGTCAACAATGTTACCACAGAACCCTTTCCTTCCTGATCATCTTTTGGAAAAGTCTTGTATCCCTGAGTATTTAGTTCCTGGCTTTGATCTCTTTCCTTAGAATCCCTACAGTGCGGAAACAGGCCCTTTGACCCAACAAGTCCATATCAACCCTCAGAGCATCCCACCCAGACCCATCCCCCTATGACCCACCTAAACTACACATCCCTGAACATTATGGGCAATTTAGCATGGCCAATCCACCTAACCTGCACATCTTTGGACTGTGGGAGGAAACTGGAGCACCTGGAGGAAACCCACACAGATAAGAGGAGAACGTGCGAACTCCACACAGACGGTTGCCTGAGGGTGGAATTGAACCTAGGTCCCTGGCGCTGTGAGGCAGCAGTGCTAACCACTGAGCCATCATGCCGCCCCAAACTGTATCAATGTCTCTGAAATGGCTGTAAGATCATACCCGTTAACCTGTATTTCAGCCATGAATTGATTTATTTTGTTCTGCTTACTATGCATATTCAAATAAAAACTATTAAATTTGCTGTTTAACCAGTTTTTTCTCCTTTTGATTTGACTTTCTGCTTTCTTTTCATGTTTGTATACACTGCACCTTTGTTCTACCCTGAGTGTCGTTATATCAGATGGTTGCCGTGTAACATAGCCATATCCACTTGCTTTGTAAGCCTATATTTCCCCTCTCCCAAACCCTCCATTCCTCTATTTAGTTTAAAGCGCTCTCCACCGCCCTGGTTATTCAAAAATGTTGAAAGTTTTCCACATGGAACTATTGTTAGTTTTTCTTAATTTCTAAATGAAAAGGTAATCTTACTCACTGAACCAGAATTTCCAGATGTTGTCATCAACCACAGCTTCATTAAACCAACATCTCCAGAAGAAGCCCTCATGGTGAAAAATGGGACCAGCTCTATGGGAAGGCACAATGATATCTCCCTTCTAAACATGAAAGGAAACACTTCATTATTTCATCACTTGCAGTATTGCAATATAATAAAACATATAACTTGAAATGCCATCACTATTGTTTTAAAGTTTTATGCTGTTGAATTTCTTTTGATGTTCCTATTAAGTTCCCTGATCACAAAAAGCTGCCAAAATCAGCTTTAGCATTATAAGTTTTTCTCAAATACACATCTGCACCACTTTCTATTGAAATGGAACCTTTCATGTATGTTTTTAAATCAAATTGTATTTGAATTAATGAACTTGTATGAAAACATCTATTACATATTAACTGGCGACCAAAAAATTGCAATTTAAAATGTATTGTAGACTATTCTAACAACCAGTAACTATGAAAACACTCACATATGATGCATTTAATTGTGGGTTTATCATTGATTTCTACATGATCTTTGCTAATCTTAGTGCCACCATTATTCCTTATTTCAGGAAGAAACCGCAGAAATCATCACTAGTTCAACTTTGGAGCTTGCGTACTGGTTTGTATACAGTCTGTTCATATGAATGACATTTATTTATCACATCAGTAAACAATTAGAACATTTCGTTTATTCATTTGTGGGACCTTTAATGCAGTGAAGCATCCTAAAGCACTTCACAGGAATGATGAACAGACAAACATTTAAAATTGAACCTGGACTCATCCTTGACCACTCCTTTACCTTTCCTGGAAAGATTCTATTCCACTTGCAGATTCACCAGAGTTGATGACACATTGTTAGGGAGTTACCATTACAGTGCTTAACATTGGCCATTGAGTTTTATGGCATCAGGTCAAATATGGGTAAGAAAATGTCTGTGGATTACCACCTACCATTGTACTTCAGCTAATGAAACAATATATTTCCATTATGAAGATCGTTTAGAAGAAGCAGTGAGGGTAGCAAAGGTATTCTAGGTATTTTTGGTGGAAGATTTCAATGCCCATCACCAAAAGTAGTTCAGTGGTATCACCAGCAACCAAGCTGATTATGTTCTGAAAGTCAAAGCCTCAAAGATTAGACCTATAGTAGGTGGTAGTAGGTCAAATTACCCGTCGTAAGTGCATCATTCCATAGCAAAATTGATCAAAGTCACCATTGCGTAGTACTTACAGAGACAAAAGCCTCTTTTTCTTATTGAACATGCCACCATGATGTTGTGTGACACTGCCATCATGCTAAATAGGATGGATTCAAAACAGATCCAGCAGCTCAAACTTAGGCCTCCGAGGGCCACCAACTGCAGAACAGTTTTCCACCAGAATATCTGCTCTATGGCCTGACCTACTTCTCTCCCTGACCTTATAATCATACCAGGGGACTTACCCCAGTTCCATAAGGCGTGTGAAAGAGGAGCAATGTCAGGCATTCTTAAAAACAAGGTGTCAAGTTGGTGAATCTGGAACACAGGACAACATGCATGCTAAACAATGGAAGTGGCATACTATACACAGAGCTAAACAATCCCATATCTAAAAGGTCAGATCTAAGCTCTGCAGTCCCACTACATTTGATCGTGAATGGTATTACAGAATCATTAAACATGGAAACAGTCCCTTTGGTCCAGCTCGTCTTCGCCGACCAGACATCCCAATCTGACCTATTCCCATTTGCCAGTATGTAGCCCATATCGCTCTAAACCCTTCCTATTCATATATCCATCCATATGTCTCTTAAATGTTGTAATTGTACCAGCCTCCACCATTTCTCTGACAGCTCATTCCATAAACGCACCACCCTCTTTGTGAAAATGTTATCCCTCAGGTCCTTTCTAAATTTTCCCTTCTCACCTTAAATCTACACCCTCTAATTTTGGACTCCCCCACCCTAGGAAAAAGATCTTGGATATTCATCCTATCCAAGCCCCTCTTGATTTTATAAACCTTTATAAGGTGATCCCTCAGCCTCCGACACTCCAGCAAAAAAAGCCCCAGCTAGTTCTGCGTCTCCCCAAAACTCAAACCCTCTAATCCCAGCCACATCCTTGCAAATCTTTTTTGCGCCATCTCAAGGTTAATGTGCTGTTAGTCACATTAGATTTTGCAGGGATTAAGTAACTGTTTTATTTGAATTTCCTACATCACTCTCTTACATCTCATGTAGGAGATGAGTTATTAGTTGCTTGACAATATTTGACAGTGCTGATCTGTTATTGGCTAATGAAAGTAGCTAACTGTTCAAATTCTATGGATAATGTCCAACGACTTCACAAATCATTTGGACTTCATTGATGTAGATTATGAAGCATCAAGGTCCACTCTTAAATGTTTAGCCCTGCTTTCCATCAAATTGTTTTGCATCTAAAACAGTGCGAGTTGCCTGAGCTTTGATCATGAGATTTTTGGGTCTTAGCCAGCATTTAGTCCACAGTAGTCTGTTTTGATGCAAGTAACAAAGAGTTTAGTTTTGTAGTTAATAAATATATTTCTGGCATTAAATGATACAGTGCTAAAGGCTGGGTGGACCATTTTGTTCATTGTGCTGTACAATTGTACAAAGACAAAGAGATGTTGCGAACATCTTCATCCCAATGAAGGCACAGCACAGCATGAGAGTGCAAAACAGTAAAGTTGAAGAATTGCAATGATCTTTATCCAGGACTGCCAGTTGATTCATTCTATCTGATATCAAGAAGCTGGCAAGCACATAGATGCAACGAAGGCTGTAGGCTGCAACAACATCCTAGTTGTAATGCTAAAGATATGTTCCAGAGCTAGATGCACCCGTAGCCATCCTGTTCCAGTTTAGCTACAACACCAACATTTACCTGACAATGTGGAATATGGCTGAAGATTATCCTTTTCAGGAAAAATTCAATCCAACCATCATCCCATCTGCCTACTGTAAATCAGCAACAAAACCTGCTCACTGATGGTCAGATTGGGCTCTGTCAGGACCACTCTTTTTCTGGACATCATTTTAGCCTTGGTCCAAATATGGACAAAAGAGCTGAAATATTTGGTGAAATATCAGTTTTAGAGTGGGCAAAAAGTCAGAAAATAAAGACATACCTAAAATAATTCCTTCTTCTCAAGTCTTTAACCTGCTTCATTATTGGCTGCTGAATTGCTAAAAATCACACACTGAGGTATGAACTTCATTGGAAAGGCTTGAAAGAATAATCTTCTTGCTGATGTAAGACTGTTAACCACGATAAAGTCCGGTGTGGACCAGGTGATGTCAGATCCCAAAGCTAATGACAGATGTCGCTACTTAAAGACACTTCTGTCCCATTACAGATGTCCAACAATTTTCGCCACAGGGTTGGCACACTTTAAGGCAGATGGGAGTTTCACCAAATGTGATTAGGACCCCATCACTGTTCCACTACAACCAATCAAGCAATCAAGTCCAGAGCGGGAATACACACTTATGGTCCTCACCCCTCCATGGCCAGAGTTGGGGAGCTCATAATGCAAAACCCTGCTAGGTTTGCTTGCAGACTTCCAACAAGATGGTTGATTGTGGGAGAAAAGGGGATCCCTCATTCAAAGACACTCAGTGCCTGATGAAGGGACAATGCACACAGACACACACACACACACACACACACGCACACACGCACACACACACACACACACTCTCTCTTTATCTCTCTCTCTCTCTCACACACATACAAACACATACACACACAGACCAACAACAGACAGGTCTCTGACATTGTACAATGCTTACAGCAAACAGACCGGAGTGAAAATTCAGAATGGAAAATCCTTCAACCAGACATTAAACATCCATTCCACACTGTGAATGTCACACTTTGTGTGAAGTCAAACAATTAAAAGCTTCTGCCACTTTTAACATCATATGCCTGAAGAAAATTGGTAAAGGCAAGCTCAATACCAGTGCAAATATCCTACTGTCTTGAATTGTGTTGACTATATCTGGCTCATTGGAAGTTAATAATACAACTTGCAACAGTGATAATGACAGATATTGACATTATGGCTCATTCATTCCTTCCAGATATTTTTGAAAATCAGCTTTTTCAGGTATGTTATACCCACCTATGGAGACGGTGGGACTTAAATCCAGGCGTCCTGGCTCAGAAGCAGGGGCACTACCATGGTCCCACAAGAGCCATTCATCCATTTGTGCCATTGGTAGATTGGTAATGAAATGTACCTGTGGCAATTCCATATGGAAACCACAAGCATTCCACCTAGTAGATACAAATAGGTCAGGAATAATGGGACTATTTGCATATTGCACAACAATTTGACCATTCAAAAAAATCACCAAGATATCAATCACAACGAAAAGATCAAGAATACTCACAGTGAGTTCATCCAGGACTTAGAACAAATATATCCAGGAGAATTCGTTGCAATATGAAACTTCAAAGATGATACTGTAATACACCTCAGAGAAGATGCAATTCCATCAATTGACCTTCCCAGAATGTGGGATATTCACATACAAGAGAATCTTAAAAGCAGGCTAGACAATGCAGCATGTAATGATATTACAGGTCATGGAAATCAGCACATGTACTGGTACAATACTATCATGTCCATGCTAAAGAAAGGTGGCACAATCAGGGTATGTTGGTTCCAAGACATCTAAATATTTCTCTAAAGACATGCCTGCAGAAAATTCCAAGCTTAGAAGCTATTATAGAACATAATCCCAATTTTACAGGATCAATATTATTTTTCAAGCTGGATGGCAAGTTGGTTGGTTCACTTGGCAAAGAAATCTCAAGAAATCAATGCATTCAGAATGCCATTTGGAAAATATTGCTTTCAGATACTGCATAATCTTCTGTCAGTTTATCTGTCAGTTAGAATCAGTTCCATCAACATATTGTGTGATTCATATGATATAATGTATATATATATTTTTGACATAACATTGCAATTTTGGGTTCTTGGATTCTGGATTAGTAAAATACACAGTTTGAAGTCAATAATTAGCCTGTGAGTATTTCTGTAGCAATGTGGATATCTTTTAAAACAGCTTTTGAGGCGTAGCTCTAGATTGATTTTTTTA